TAGTCTCTTTAAAACAAAAAACTAAAAACAAACTTCCAGTTTGTTTATGCCACCACTGTCTCTCACCTAAACAGGAAACAGAAGGCAGTGATTTGCCTCCACACAGCCTCTTTTTCACACAGCAGCCAGAGTGCTTTTTTTCTTTTTGATCATGGGGATTGAACACACTGAGCTCTATCTCCAGTCCTTTCTTTAAATTTTTTATTTTGTATATGGTCTCACTAAATTGCTGAGGTTCTTTTAGGTGACCCAAGCTTGCCTCCAACTTGTGATCCCTCTGCCTCATTCAGGCTCCCAAATTGCTGAGAGCTCAGAGAGATCCTCCTCAGCAGGATCATGACACTCAAAATCCTTCAGTGACTTCCATTTCCATTGAGAGTTAAAGCCAAGTCCTCAAAATGCCCCACAAGTCCCTACATTTTTGCATCTGCCTCAGCCTTGTCCCACCATTACTTCTCTGAAATGCCCTTTCTCTCTTCATCTCTCCTTCTGGTTCAGCCACCCTGACATCCTCTCTGCCCCTAGAACATGCCAGGCAGGGCCTCTGCATCAGCTGCTCCCTCTGCCTGGAAGACACTTTCCCAGTTATCTGCATGGTCTGTTCCCTTATTTCTGTCACTAGGTGTGAGTTCCATGGGGCAGTGTTTTTTCTTTTTTCACTTTTATCTCAGTGCCCAGTACAATGTCTGCCACATAGTGGGCACTTTTTGTTTTCTGGAAGGAGAAAGGAAGTCAAAAAACAGGGAAGTAACCAGAAGGAGGGAGACCTGGAGCTAAGTGAAATCTCTTGGCCATGAAGGTGTGTCCGTAGATTAACTGTAGCCTTGAAGTCCTGCCCAGATCTTTAGACTCTTGCCCTGAGAAGGGATCAAAATAGACATCCTTTCTGATAATTTCTATAGATGTCTTTCTCACTTCTACAGTTATGTTTTCATTTCTTTCATCTTGCCTGGGAAAAATGCCTTTGCTATAGTTCTAATTGACTTCCACCTGGCACAGAAGGAGTGTGACAAACGACATATAATATATTGCCTTAACTTTCTATTACTCTTTGTAGAAGCTCGATTGCTTCTCCCGACAAAGCCCTCTCGAGCCCCCTTCACTGCAGTGGGTGCTGTGTGGCTGAGAGCTCCCCGGCGTCTGCTGTTTACTTGGTAGGCCATTCTGACCACCCGCTACCTGAGGCTGCTGCTCCTCTATTGGGCCTTTATGTTCCTCTTCTAGGTTTCCCTTTTGGATTGTATGTTGCTTCAAATAAAATCGCTAACAACATATGGCCTGTTATGATTCTCTTTTCCCAAACTCTGCCATTTTGTATATTTGTGACACACTACAGATTTTGTGAAGATTGCTTCATAATATTTGTTTACCATCTGCTGCACTCTATTTGGTATCTTGCTAGGATTTTTTCCTCCATTTTAAGTGACATTAACAAAATCCAGCCAGTACATAGACTTTCTGGTTCTACTTTTGCTTCCCTAATGTGCTGGAAAATCATATTACTATGCTCCAGGCAACTAGAGAAGCCTGGAATTCTCATTGTGAACCAGTGTGTCAGATCTGTCCTCCCCCCATTCCCACCCCCCCATTTCTTGGTTATATCCAGTAATGCTTTTTTGGTCAGATGGCAAAGAACCTTCATGTATAAGACAGAAAGAGTTCAAATTATTTTTCTGCTTCTTTCCACTTAGTACCACTACTTTTCTGGTGTTCTTCACCAACACATTTATGTCGACACTCTTTGTGCCATTTTACTAAGTTTTTATGATTTATAGTTTCAGGTAGTGTAATTTTTATAGCTAACCCAGTTTGATAGGCCAATAGCCAGAACATTTGCTGGATGTGTTACATATATCTAACTTTTTTATTTAGAAAAGTATTTTTGGTTACTGTCGCACTGCGTTGCTCGGAATGTATTTCTGCTTTCTTGCCCTGCACTCAGGTGTCTTCAGAGAAAAGTGCATTCTCACTTTGTAAGGTGAATGCTTTGCACTTGGGCTGCCAGGGGTCAGAGACAGTTTCGATTTTGCCTTTTGGCCCAAAACACCAGTCTTCTCAAGGGAGTGGTTATTTTTCTACCTTAGTCTCTTATTTGACAAGAACCAGGAGTCTCAGTCTTAATTAGGCAACTAAGCACAGGTTTTCAAAAGTGAAACAGGCAGCCCCCCCAAAAAAACCAAGACCCACATAAATTTGTGTCACCTGTTAACTCCTAAGAGCTGTCAAGCACTGGGTCACAGAAGCCCTATTTTATCTCCAGGCCTTATTGGAATGCTCCCTTCAGCCTGCATACAGTCTTCCCCTTGGAGTCAGACCCTCCCGGGCAGCACCAACTCTCTGCCGCTAGGTTGGCAGCAAAGCATTGTCTCATAGCTCCTTTCTGTGGAACTGCTCTGCAAGACATTATTCTCCTAGCCCACTTCCCTCAGGTGTTTTTAATTTTTCCCCACTGTAATAATCCCTCAGGGGATTTCGTAGAAGTCTAGAATTCCAGAATATTTTATCTTAAGTAGCCTTAGTTACTCGAGGCTGACTTTGGAACTTAAAAGAACTCTCTCCCTCTCATCTTGATTTAGAGAGATTGTGATTTAAATGATATTTTTGGAATTTGTGCCCTCTCTTTAAAAGCTATAAAAAGTTTTTTGCCTGTTTACTAAACTCTATGCAACTCCCCATGCAAACAGTACCTTACTGAGGTCTTGTGTGTATTGAAGTTTGAATATAAGCAGTCCCTTTGTGACCATGATTGCTATAGCTAGTTCTTGTGCAGAAATGAGATGTATTAAAAAACTGCTTCCTTCAGGCTGGAACAAACAGTGTCTGACCTGGTTTTAAAGCAAAAGTGTAAAGTGCTGTCATGTGTGATAATGATGATATATAACATTATACTCTTTTACATTGTAACTGTTTTTTCCTTTTGTCTTCTCTATTTGAAAGAAAACTTTCAACTTAGCCTTGATAATGTTAGTCTCTAGAACCTGTATAAAAGCTCTTTTCTTCTGTTTCTATAGCTAGAATGACCCTCTCTCAGTTTGCCCCTAGAGAGTCTGCACCGAAAATGAAAGAAAGAAAAAGTGCTGGGTTCCTGTGTTGCACTTTATGTGTGTAACGTCCCCCAGGAAAGTCGGTGGGAATTTGCCTTCTTCCTTACTGGAAGAGACCAGTGTGTGCCTTTTACCCTGAGAACAGGTGGTCCCTGCTGGTGGAATACCAGTAGTGGCTCTTGATAACACCTATTTAGACAGAGTGACTGATAATACTGATTCTCATTTAGTTGGGGGAAATGTACAGAATGAACCAGGATCCAGGATCCAGAAGCAAATGCTTTGGAAAGAAGACCTGTGTGGGAGCTGTTGGCTTGGTCAGTGAGTGGGGCAGGCTGAGTGCTGCTTTCCATCACGTTGTCACATGTTGGCTGCTGAGGGGACAGGGAGTAGTAGCATTTTGCTTGGCAGTAGGTTAATTGAAAGAAAGCACAGACTCCTTCCCAAGGTCCCCATGGCCTGGTCACCAGGCAAGGGGACAACATCTGAACTGTGGCTGGACAGGAGGGTGGACTGCAGATGTGTGAGGGGGGAGGATACATGAGTTGAACTGAATCAGCCTGTTCTTCTTAAAAGTGTCCTCAGTTCCTGGGGAGAGGTATCTGGTTTGCCTGGCTTGGGATTGGTCCATCTCTGCATCTGATCAAATCAGTAATTGCATGCTCAGGAGTGAACAGCAGTAACAAAATAACAATGCTTATTGTTTAAGTAGTGCCCCAGAGCTGAGGTGTCCGCCCCAGAGCTGAGGTGTCTTGCCCAGAGCCTGCCCCTTCCCACTTGTCACCTTGGGAGGCTAAGTGTATTGCTTAAGTATGTTTGGTGTTTTTCTTTCAACTATGCATTTAGAGTCTGTCACATAGACTGTCAGGTATCCTCACTATTGACAAATTTTTATTTTCAGAATCAAGAAGTATCTAGCTAAATATTTAGAAATAGCCACAAACCATTCTGGGTACAGCTGGCAGATGGTGTGGGTAGGTAATCAGACCACCAATTTGATTTGGGGTTAAAAATGAGGTTTGATATTCTCATATGGTTTATCTTTAGGTTCTTAAAGCAGTTTTTGAAGAAATTTGTCAAAACTACTTTAAGACAGTTATTGAAGTAATAACATTTCTGATGAGGTGTCCTTGAAGATCTTATTCAAATGTACACATTCTGGTTATGAATTTTGTTGAGTCTTATTATCCTCTAGTTTTAGGACTGTTAAGCCTATTTCAAAATAATGTAACTCCCGTTTACTGCTGCCTTTGATAGAGAGTACCCAACACAAATGCAACTGGAAAGAGAGCACTGATAGGCAGGATGGGAGGTGGGAAGACCTGGGTTGGAGTTGCTTTGCGAGTTAACCTTACACCAGGCCCCAGGCTCCTCTTTTGTAAAAAGGGAATGAACATAATGGTGATGTCCACATCAGAGGGTTGTACCGAGGTTTTAAGGCAGTATTGCGTATGAAGTACAAATTATGGTGCCTCCCGTGTAATAGTGTTCAGTAAATGTTAGCTATTTTAATCATGCTGTTGGGATGTGGTAGATGATTTGAGCAACAGGAAGAAATAGAAAAGAATAGGATGCCATTTGGGAAATAAAGTACCGATTTTAGAACAAGACTGGCCTTTCTTTGGTTTTAAAAATTCTCCCAAACAAACCTGTTTCATCATACTCTAGTTATATTTATTTTAACCTGGACCTAGGTCATGAATGATATGAACAGTATTTTGATTTTCAAGTGTCCCTAAATTTTAGTTCTTTTTTGAGATTCTAATTATGTTCTAAACCAAACCAAACCAAACCAAACTGAAAGCTAATAATCCTAACATCTTAAAAAATTATGTTGTTAAGGGTTTGGGTATCACGTTGTCAAAAACCCATTGTATTATTTTCCCATGCAGCATGGTTTTTATACATTAAAAGAATGAACATCTTACCACTAGCATTATGTTTCTTTTTAAACAGATGAAGATGAAGATGGTGATAGAATTACAGTGAGAAGTGATGAAGAAATGAAGGCAATGCTGTCATATGTAAGTGCATTACAAATGAGGACTGTTGTTAAAACTGTTAATGTGATCGAGCTTGCTGTTTCTTGGTCATATGAAGACATGTAAGTAAATCACAATTGCCATAATATTTTTCCACATAATAAATAAGGTTTTCAGATTTCCTTACGTGAAAGTTGAGGGCATTTCTTTTCAAAAGACACTTACTGATCATATCATGAACATTAAGAATAATGCATCTTAATGACTTTTGCATTAGGTATGGTGCAGACTAAATGGACTATCAATTTCCTGTATTTTTTATGCAGTACTTAAAGTAACGGCTCATTAAAAACGAACCCCTGGGCTCTAAAAATTTTTCAAAATCTACTTTCAACTGGAGATCTCTTTCACCCTTCCAGACTATAGTTATAATGTAGCTGCAGGCTTAATATGGATACAGGATTTAAAGATGTATTCTCCGTTATTTTATGCACAACCCATCCTCCTACCCACACCCCAAAACAAACCACAGGGTTACTTACTAAATCAAAGAGATGTGAATATATCCTGAAATGATTTTTTTTTTTTTTGTATTTCAAATCTCTGTGAACATTTGTATTAATACTTGTCTGGGACTGAAATAAATAAGAAAGAGAAAAGGGCACATTTCTAGAGCTTGAAAAATTCAATGATGATGAAGAGACATAGCTTTCCCGAGCCCCGATTTGAGCTTTCATCTCAAGTTTTATTTTATTTTATCTAAGTTTGGAATCTGTTTACAAAAATCTTTTCCAGTGGTCTGGAGAGTGTTGAGTGGAAGTGGGAGATCAGGCTCTGTGCTGGCTTCCTGGCCTCAGGCAGATCACTTAACCTTTCAGTGCTGTAGTTGCCTCATCTATCAATTGCAGATAATAATACTTGTCCTTTCTACTGCACAGGGTCATTGTAGTGATCAAATGGGATAATAGATGTGAAAGCCTTTTGAAAAGTTAAAAGTTCTGTAGAAATGCAAAGTGGTGTCTTGGTAGAATTGAGAATCTAATCATAGCCAACAGTTAGGTTGTAGGTTTCTGATAGACTTCAGCTTCAACCAGGACATTGTTTCATTGTAATGAAAACTGTAAACTATCTGTATGGGTTTCTGCCAATAGTTTTAATTTAGGGTAGGAGGAAAGAGAACAAGAAGGATGGCATGATTAACAGAGCGTTGCATTCCAACCAGCACAGAGTAGGAAAAGTCAATTTCCCATTGACTTCCCATTAACTTATGTGGGAGTCTTTGTGTACTGAGAATTTAGAGCTGAACTCATCAGTACTTGAAAGGCAGAGTAGGATTGTCTTCAGAAAGGTCTAGCACTAGTATTGATAGATTGGCTAACTCTCCTGGGAATGGGACATTCTTATTTTTAGAAAACACACACACAGATGGGTTCTATTTTTCTCACATCCTTGACAGAGAACAGACATCAATATGTTTTCATTAAGTATTCAGCATACCCACCCATAAGAGATAACGTCCTTTTTAGAAGATCATAACTAATTGTGCTTTTTGAAAAATGTTGGTAAGTGTGATCATAGGGATAATAATAATCATTTCCCTCTCTGAGTGCATGCTATGTAAATTAAATGCCCGAGTTGTTGTTTCTTCTTCTTCCTTTTTTTAATTTAATAATCACTCTGAGATAGATACTACATTCCATGTTTTGTAAATGAGGAAACTGTGATTGAGAGACATGCCCAAAGTCTCAGGACTAGTTTAGAAATACTGAATTTAAGTCCAGCCTCTCCTAACGCCAAAGCCTGCATTCACTCATGGTTTTCCACTGCCTCTCTCCTGTCCGCCATCTTGCAAATTCATACTAGGTTTTTAAAAAAATTTATCACCATTATTAAATTCCAAGTAATTTGTGTTTATATAATACCTTAGCTATAGTATCTGAACAAAATAGTCCTTAGAACTTCTGGTTATTTTTTTCAAATGGAATGTTTAATTATTTTGTGTTGTAGAAAAATATTAGTCATGATCACCAACCTTACATTACAGGTCCTTAAATTTAGAAGTTCCCAAGATTTCTTAATAGGTACTTTTTAGTCCAAAAAGAGATCATCCAGTTCACTCATCCCCAAATGTTTGGCTTTCATGAATCAATCAATTTTTCATTTTCAGGTTAGGGGACAGAGAGGCACAGTAACTTTTAATTTTGCCAAATAGAAACACTAATGAAATAAGTAAACTAATAAAAATTCTCTATTATCATTATTTTATTAGCAAAGAAAAATAGTGGTAGTGATTTAAAGAGTAAAACAGTGGGCAGGGCATAATCTCACAAATAACAGTGATAATTTCATTAAAGTGAATATTAGTTTTATGTACCACTCACTACTTGATTCTTGTTTTTTTCTTATTTTTCTGTGGATGATTGAAAACTTTATCATGAATTGTCACTGGTTGGTAGGTTGTGGTCTGACTGATTGGATCAGAGTTTTCTCATTAATTCACCTAACAAAAATTCATAGGTAGGAACCTGAGCCCCATTCTCAAATTTTAATGTATTAAGGTAAAGCTCTGATTTTTTTTTTTTTTTTTGATGCTATTTCAGTGGGGGAAAAAATAAGTTTTTACTTTTTGTGGTTCTTAAAATTGAACCCAAGGCCTTGTACACATTAGGCAGTACTCCACCACTCAGCAAAATATTTTGAAGTGAATTGAAAATATTGCTGAGAGAGAACACGTTTTAAGTCATTTAAAACTTAAGTGGATTTTTTTTTCCTCCTCTACTTGTTGCCCCTGCCATCACATACCCTTTGTTTATGTAGAGTCAGGCTCTCAACAAGCATTCAAAAGGTAACGAGTGTTTAGAAAGCACAAACTACATGGGCTGGCTATCATTTTGGTCTGTTTTGGTTCCTCTGGTTGGAAATTCCTTTGGGATTCAGTTTTGCCATAAAAAAACCATTTGTATCTAATTTTACAGTAGATTTTGATGAGAGGGCCTCATGATTATTAACCTGTTATTAAAATTTTGCATTGGTCTTTGTTTTTTTGCTTCAGTTTGGCTCTGAGCAAGTTTGATTGCAGGATTTGGTATAGTGGCATAGGGAAGATACTGATGGAGGACCATCTTTTTATTGTGAAAAAATGAAGCAGCTTAGATTTTCATATGGTATTCAATTGTGGTCACCTTAGTATTTATTTAAAAGCCATATGAGGAAAAGCAAAAGTAGGGACATTTTTACCATTAGTCCTCTAATCATTCTTTTCCTTTGATTACAAAGGTTAAGTGAATACACAGCCTAGATCTCTGTATTAGAATTGGGGAAAAAAATTGCAACATCTGAGTTAAAACTTGCTAAATTACGTCCCCCTCAGATGTAAGCATTTTCTGTCTTTGGGCCAACACAAGTGTAAGTTTTTATCAGTAATTTAAATAGATTTTTGTATTAGACTTGAAAATGTTGCCTTTTTAATTGAAAACTTATCAATTATTTAAATCGCTAGCTGCCTGAGGCTGTTAATTTTATGAGTTCTATAATAATGGCATACAGTGGTTTTTGATACATGTGACATGTGGAATATTGTAGTAGTAAGGATTTGTCATGACAATAGGTTGTTGTGCACTGTTAAATAATAACCTACATATTAAACTGAAGTCAGTTGTCACACATTAGTACCATTTTATGTAAGTTATTTACAAGTTGTATTCTTTACTTCATTCGATATATTTTTAAGAGATAATAAGAAGAAAACAAAGCTATAATAAATTGTCTTTTAAGAAAATGTAAAGTAATTTGGTCTCCAAAGAGATATTTAATGTATTGAAAGAATTCAGCAGCCAAGTGTTATTGCAGTGCCATTGTGAGAGCTCTCTGCATTTTGTTATGAGTTTGTGTTAATCAACAATCTGTTTTTATAGCGTAGTTTCTTGTAAGTTATGTTGTTAGAATATTCCACTTCTGGGATCCTGGCTTTTCCTCTGACACCATTGTATCTTTTTAATTCCTCCATAAAGTATTTTTTTAATTAGAATTTGAAATGCTTTATTAGAAAAAAAATACGCACAATCTACATATTCTGAAAACTAAATACCTGATCGTTGCTAATTATTTAAAGGACCCTGTTAAATATTCCTTTAATGTAGTTTAAATTTTGTTGTTGTTGTGCTTATTCCCCCTCTCATTTTCTAGAAACATTGAAAATGGTATGCTGCTTTTCTCCTAGCAGTTCACTTTTGTTGTCTGGTAGTGCTATTGAGGCCCACTTCTAGGAGGGGGTTATTTTAATGCTGACCTCCTTTTGTGGGTGATCATTCATTGAAGAATTCAGCATCTTGCTTTGATAGATATATTCACATTTGTTTCTGCTAAATCCTGTGTCTAGTAAGGGCTTGTTTTTGCACTGATTCTGTGGATGCTGAGAGGCCTGTATGAATGGAGCATAGTATTAATAAGAATAATTTTCTTCATTTTGCCCATTCTCTGTTTATACTATTTTCCCACATTGCCAGAGAGTATGGGATGAGTTTTACTGTAATGTTTCCCATTATGGCAGAGACCTTGTGTTTTAATGAAGTGTAAGTATTCCCTTTGGTATACTTGACCATAGAGTACCTTGTTAGACCCTGGGTACCACAAGGGGAAAGTAGTTGTGACCTGTGGAGCATCTTGTAAATAGGGCTGTGATTAGCTTTTTCCTAGTATGCATAACTTGGAGATTGCCTCTAAAATCAAGCAGTTACTCAGGTAGAGTTGGAAGGGAACCTTAAAGGTCCTGTCTACCTCTTTGATTTTAAAGTACATTGAGTGCAACTGAGATCAGATTCAGAGGTGGGTTGGAGGCCACTTGGCTAGTTAACAGGAGACCTGGGCACATGTTCCCAGCGTCTTCAAGCTGCCTATTTTAAGTCAGGTTTTTGTTTTGGTATCTACTAAAGTTTCACTGAAGAAGCTTTGCAAATGCTCCCTTTTTTTCCTTGTGGTAAGAAATATGCTTTTTACTAGAATGCCAGTGCACCCAAATTTAAACAAGAATGCCAAAAATAGTC